GGCATGCCGCCTGCCCTGGGGTCCGCTCGCGCTGCTCTCGCTCAGCAAGGTTGAGACGGGAGGTTCCTCTGCTGGACAGTTGTCTCTTTCTCCAACAGTCTTGCTGGTGGGTTCTATTTCGGCAATCGCCACACTCATGGTGTCCTCTGGGGAGATGTTCGTGGACGCGCCGGAAATATGCTCTGAGGTCTTGCTGGCAGCCCCGGCCACAGCCACCTTGATGCTCTTTGGAGACATGCTGGCAGTGCCTGCAATGGCGATGTTGCTCTTGCTTCCTCTTAGGACGGCCCCTCCTGCAATGCTGCTTGCATCTCCAAACTTGGTCCCTGCCAAACTCAAAGCACCTGCAGTGCCCGCAGCTGCCCCAGCAACTGCTACCTCTGCGGTTGCCCCTGTTGCTGACTCTTTGGCAAAATCCATAGGTTTAGTTTTGGGGGTGGATGCATCAGGCACACCGATGGGTTTGTAGGAGTTATATTGGACCCCCTCCCCCCCAGCATAAGCGGCAGAGGTGGCCCCACACACCTCAGAGACTATTTGGAGGCTCCTGATGCTGACCTGGTCCTGATCCCCCTTTCCTTGCAAGTCCGCGCCTCCCAGGCTCGTCCTGTCTTCCTCAAACACGGGCATGCACATGTCCTCCGCTGGAACTGCATACGTACTGCTGTTACTGTCCACAGGGGGCCGCAGGAGGTAAATGAGTTTTTCCCAATAGGCAAAGAGGTCTTTCCGTGCATCTAGAGGTGGACACAGCTGCAGGTAGCAAGAACGGCCGGTGGCGAACTTTAGGCGCAGCTGTTGTTTCTCACGGTCGTGAACAGAGATCCTTACAAACTTCAAGGGAAGGAGCCTGGTGAGCTCTAAGGCCTTTGCAGCCTTGCGTTTTCTTCCCTTGGTGGACTGGCCATGTCCACCGTACTCTTCACAGCCGGTGGCCGGTCGGGCCAGCAGCATGACGTCAGGGAGTGGGAGGCTGGGGCTGGTGCACGCGATGCCCACGGTCACCATTCGGACACGGTTGTGCACGTCAATCACTTCGCCCCTTTTGGTGATCTGGATAAAGTCGCTCTCAAATATCGGTGCGTACTTGAATATGTCATACTCTCCCTTGTACAGCTGTCGCTGCAGTTTCCCCATGCTGGTGTTGAACATGCCCATCCCAGAGCCACTCTTGGCCGTGTAATATGGCAACAGACAGTCACTGTTCATGGCTCCCAGAGTCTCCCTTGGCCTCGTTGGCAGGTGAGGGAGCAGCGGTGCTCCTGGGTCACAAAGATGGCTCTGCAGCAGGTCTCTCCACCCCGCCCCAACCCCACAGGCCTCCCCTTTTGCCTCAGAGCCTCCCAGAGGCCGAGGTTGGGGGCGAGGACACAGATGGTTGCCGTGGGGATGCAATGGCGCGCGCGGACTGCAGACTGAATCTCCTCGCTGATGTGGAGACGCAGGGTGGGCTCCCGAGAGGGCTTCTGGGTCTAACCCCTGCTTCCACCTCTGATTCTTATATCTTCCTGACAGTCTACAAAGTGCAGTCCTAGTGAGAGAAGTGACCACCATCTTGGCCTAAGTCCCCGAGCAGCCATATTTATCCTCTGCTGCCCTTTGTGACCTATCACTGTCACACACCCCTTTGTTTTCATCCCCTGCTGCCCCTCAGGGCAGGGCCACCATCCTGACACCCCACTGCCCCCACAGAGGACAGGCCCACCCTGCCAGGCACTCAGGTGAGTGCCAAAATAAACATTTTTTCAAATGAGAAAATTTTGTGTGGCTTCTCCCCTGCCCCCCCAATTCAAAAGATTCAGCAAACAGACAACATCTATAGAAATGCTAGAGGATGGGATAAATTTGAACCATTTGAGTTACATGGTTTAATTTTATAGAAAAAGCTAGAATTGGCAGTCTTGGTTCTTAGCCCATTCTTTCATAAAATCTCAGTAAATGTCGATGATGATGATCTTTAATAACAACCTTAACCTTTAATAATAACATTAAACATTATTTCTCCTAGGTGCCATACTATGTTCTTGACCTATATTCATAAGAACCCATTGAGCTTGGGACAATTGCTACTGTCCCCATTTTACAGGTAAAGAAACTGAGCTTGTGTCCCTTACCTACATTCGTAGAACTAATAGGTAGTGGAGGCATTATTGGAATCCGGGCTTAGGTGATTTTAAAGTCTTTGTTCTGAACCACTGTAGTATTTTGCCTCACAAGGAAAGCTTGGGCCAGTCACATGTTTTCAGCTGGACCGACTTAAGAAGACCAGTTTGGTGCACTATGGGAAGTTGCACAATTAACTCTCTCCGTGTGTGTGTATTTGTGGATGTACGTTATGGAAAACCCAGGACAACCACTTCAGACAGGGGCTCGGGGCTGAACAGGGGATGAAGTTTCCCAGGGGTCCACCTCCGTTCCTCCCTTCCCTTCCCTCCATTATGCTTGTACAAATACCCCACGCAGGGGAGCCCAATTATTCTCTCGAGACCCCCAGTTTTTGCTCCCTTCTCCCCACTTCCTGCCCAGTGAAATGCCAGGCAGAAGAGAACAGGAGGGAGGTGTGAGGCCCTCCTGAACTAACCTCCCTCCCACGCGGAAATGGTCTGGAAGCCGTTTATACCTGCGGGAGCACGGGCCATTCTGCCACCTGTTGTTGCCATTCCCGCAAAGCTAGCCACGGAATAAGTGATTTCCAAACTGTCACTTGAAATTCTGAGAAGGATCCCTTGCTCCCAACTGTCTTTTCTCCCACTTTGATGGTTCTGCCTGGAATCCCACCTTAGAGATCCATTCCCTGAGGATAAAGGCACTTTCTTAGAATAAACACACCTGTCCGTCAGTGGGTGGATGGGTCAGCAAAATGTGGCATATCCACATAGTGGAATATCATCTGCCACGAAGAGAATAAAGGACTGTCACACGCTACCGCGTGCTGAGGCTTGAAAACATTAGACTGAGTGGAGGAGCCAGACACAAAAGACCACATATTATATGATTCCACTTGTATTAAATACCAGGAACAGGCAGATCCATAGAGACAGAAAGCAGATTGGCGGTTGCCAGGGTGGTTGCCACTTCCTCATCTGTAAGGTGGGGATGACAGTTCTGAGGACTAAATGGGATCATGCATGTGGAGAGTTCAGCTCATTGCCCTCCTCAGTAAATGTTAGTTAGCATCAGCATTAGTCCCCACGGTCCTTTTAGCCTCGGTGTGAATTCCTTCCCGAAAGAAGTTTTGGATGAGACCCTAGAAAAGCTTCTGGAGTTAGAGGCACCGTGAGAACGCAGGAGGAAGCTCCGTGGGCAAACCTGACCTCCTTGCAGGCAGATGTCGACTGGAAAGACTGTTCGCTCCGCAGGGAGACAGCTCTGCAGCCCAACCAGCGGGTGCGGGACAGGGGAGAGAGGAGAAAGCTTGACAGGATTTGGGTGTCAGGGGTTTATTGAAAGCTCTTGGGGAGAAATTAGGATAAAGATGGAAAAGGACTTTAGCTCTTGACAGAAAGTGAAAGCACTCAGTTTCAGAACCCCTGTCCGGGGCCAGAACCCTTCAAACCTCTTTACTCTGAAACAGGTGTCTGGCCAGATCTCAGGGAAAGACCAGGGGGGCAGGAGGAAAGCAACAGGAGGGTGGCTTTCCGTGCCCGGCTAGTGTGACGTCACCGCCCCCAGTGGGACAAAGACATTGGCAAGCCAGGTGTTTGATTCTGGCTGCAGCCCCATCTAAATTTATTCTCTCAACCTCCACCCCCAACCTTCCCTCTCCTTCAAATGTCAAACAAGATGAACTAAACAACTTGATGGTTAATACATATTCATCCTTTTCTTTATTAAAATATCAAAACACAAACTTGGCTACAGAAGACAAAACTACTTTTAATTTATTTGTTCAAAGAACTTACAGTTACACTAACCATACACAGTGCATTTCTCAGATCAATTTTCCTTGCCATAGCCACCCTCCCCCGCCCCCCACCCCCATCCATTTTTGTTCATGGCAGTTTACAAATTGTCTTGAGTTTCACAATGGCTGGTGGGGTGGCGCCTCTAGCCATAACTAGAAGGTAAATCCAAGGGCATTTTTCCCCCTCCATCAAGTAAGGAACATTGCTTCTCTTGGAAGAAGTGGTGAATGGTACTAACATCAGATAGCTCTTTACGGATGAGGAAAGACCCTGGATGTGCAATTAAAGCAGCAAAATAAGGACACCTGTGTCACAAGTGCTAGTTTAAAGGAAACATACATGAGTTCAAAGAAGCAGGTACACCGTTTCGTGTGGATGAATCTAACATTTAATGAAGCCAGTGTCTCTCTGAACAATGGCACTGGTAGCAGAGTAGCCAATTTTTCTTTCTAGCCTGTGAGTGTTACATATGTGCACAAAGAGCAAGGGAGCCTGGCTCTATGTCAGGCCTAAGGCATCCTATGCTCTGGAAATTCCAGGAAATTAGGTGAAATACCTTTCTTTGAATGACCACACCCATCCAGTCTAAAATTATTCTCTTTCTTTCTCCCATCCCCCTTCCCCTTCTTTTCTGATATATCTTTGCAACAATGAGACACACATCTGAACGTAACAAATGCAATTCAAGTGAATAATTCTTTAAGAGGAGTTCTGTGGCAGAACATTAGGTGTCAAAGTTGAGCAACAGGTGGATGCTTTAGGTGTTTGTACCTTCAGAGAAAATGATAGTTAAGGTGTTTTGCAATTCAGATTTTATATCAAAATTCTATCTTAACACCAAACGGTTGATCTAAAGGATGTGTCTGGTGCCGCGTTTCAGGGATTGGTAATGAGAAATTGAGTATCAGGTACCAGAGACTGAGGAATAGGACTGAAAGTCAACTATCCCACCTAGTGGTGTCCCGAAGAACAAAGGGTGACACCTGGAGAATTTTTAAGCTAAACACCTCCCATAATGGAGAGGGGAGGGGCAGGGAATGTTGACTGGATCTCAGCAACCAACAGATTTAAAAGAACAGAAACCAGCACAACACATGTTTGCCACGTCTTGGTTCCAATATTTATTATATTGACAGGTTAGGAATACTAGGATAAATAATATTTTCTCTTCCAGAAAATTGTAATGATACTATCGAGTAGGATTAAACACTCTGAGGATTTCACAGAAACATCAGAATTTTAACAAGACAGTAGCCAGTTTTTGTGGCCAGTGTGAGTGACTTCTCACAGGTGCAAATGCCCTGGGCCGTATTTCTCTTAAAACAGCTACATGACAAAAACAATGCCACTGACACCCAATAATGCTAAAGCCTGGGCATCAGCTGGCCTTAAACATGTCTCCACCGACTGTGGTTTTCTACCACCGGGAAAGGAAAATGGAATATTCTTTGGCTCTTCCAGCCTAGAAATAACTCCTGACCTAAGTCACTGAGTGGAGAGTCCTAACCCTTTGGCAGTTGGACTTTCTTTCTGCTTTCTTCCTGCGACATTGGAACTGAGTCCGCAACAGAGGAACTGCTGTCATGCCCACGGATTTTGTATTAACACCAGGAGAATTCTGTTCTCCAGGGGCTGACAAGCTCTTCCGGCCACTTGAACATTTTGTGAGACACTGCACATGGTGACAGCCCCCCCGCAAGCTCTCAGAAACCAGATCTGAGGAAAATCACGTAAAAGTCACACCAGTGTTGTGCCAAACAAACATCAAAAGAGCACGATGCCTAGTTTTGAAATGAATGCCTTGCACACAGTAATTCCTGGACAATAACAGCATATTTGCTAGAAAGCACAACCCTGGCCATTGCACAACTTCGCTAAATGCCGTTCTCACTCCACGTCCCCTACGGGTGACGATGGCAGCCTCAGTGGAGGTGGTGGCCCCACCCCACCTACCCAAGATTCAGACACTTCTGCATGAATCCCAGCGGTGGGCATCCTGGGTTTTACAGAATCCAGATGAAAGGTGGGCAGGACCCTAGCCAGGGGCCATCTGGAACATCTAAGAACAGCCAGTGTTTTAAGGCCTAAGTCCTGGAGTTGAGGCAAAGGTGCACTTGCCCTGATCCAAGATCCACTCTGGGGCAGAACAGAAAGGCCCACTGAGTCACCGCGGGCCCTCCCACCTCGATGGTTCTCTGCTGCTGGGATTCTAGAGGTGCACAGGAAGTCAGCTCTCCAATGGCTTCAGGGTTTTCGGTGTAATAGGAGGATTCAGTGAGGACTCCCCAGTTGCCCCCACACTGTGGCCACTTAGCTCTGTAATGTTCCTTCTTTTATCTGTTGGATAAAGAGGTTTCTCTCGTCTTCCGGAGTCCGCCCATTCTGAGCCCGGACAATACACGTGGGCCGATGAAGGTTGAGCATGTATATCAAATGCTGCTTCTCGTTCTTGAGCTCCTCAATTTGGGCCTTCAGTTCGGCATTCACGCTCTCCAGCTTCTCTGACTCCTGGGGGATAAGCGACAGAGGCATTAGGAATGGAGCCCAGGGCCAGTGGGGAGGGGGAGGCCTGGGGTGCTGCCTGGACGGTGGCGGGCACCCTTGCTGAGGGAGATGGGAGAGCAGCACTAGTGGGGGGAATGCAGACCCTGGAGAAGCCTTTGAACATGGGGGCTTCTTCAGAGGAGCTCTGGAGATGCCACAGAGGTAGGCTGTGAGTCTACTCATCCTGAAGCTGCAGACGAACCAACAGTTCAGAGACCTCCTTTGCATGAGTCCAAAAGCCCACAGGCAGGTCTTCTAGACCCGAAAGAGCCTTGGGGGTTGGGGGAGAAATTCCGACTCATGGTGCTTAGTCTTTTGTGAGTCATTGATCTCACGGAGAAGCTCATCTCCCCAGAAAAAAATGGGTTAATACTTGGCAACACACAAAATTTCCTAATTTTCACTGACCCTCCTGAAGCAATCAACAGAGCCCTTGGGCACCTGTGGAACGTGGGGGAGGGACCTGTCCACACTTGGGGGAGGGACACACCCACTGGGAAGACTGCCAGGCACCATGGCCCACGCCGCCTGCCCACAAATGCTGTTCCCTGTCTTGTTTCTCAGAAGGGGCCGGCTGAACGCAGCCAGGAGCTCAGATTGTTAGATGAGCCAGGGAGAAGGGCTGCAGAGTTAAGAACTAGGCAGGAATGCAAAGAAAGTGTAACCACTGCTTGCGGATTAAGGAAATAGCTTGTTTGAAGAGATTAACTAAAGGCTTTTCACAGTGAGCCAAAGGAGAGCTGGCAGCTTCCTTTGCTCGGGCAAGTGGGCAAGTGCAGCTTCCGTGCTGGTGGGTCCCACAGCCTGGAAGCTGCTGGACACGTATGGACCGGCAGAGGCTGCTGTGAGTTGGGCAGCAGACGTGTTCACACACCTGCTTCTCGTCCAGAGTCACGTCCACTGTGCTAACAGCTTTGTTACCTCCTCATTCTGCAACTGGCATTTCTGCTACCAGCTACGAGGCCCTTCTTGTGAACACACGACCAGGTAGCGGGCATGAGGCTGGTGGCAGACAGGCATGAGCCAGGGGCAGGGGACGGCTAGAAGGCACTCACTTTCTGCAGGCACTCCGTCTTCTCCTTCTTCTTGTTCCGGCACTTGGCGGCTGCAATCTTATTTCTTTCTCGTCGCCTCTTTTTCCTTTCGTCTTCTTCAGGGGCTACCTATAAAAATCCAAAAGGTGCACGTTTAATGGGAGGCAAGAAATGCCACCCACCTCAACACACGGCCTTTTGCTGCCAACGAAAACTGGCAGATCTAATGCTGGAGGACCCGGAGAAAATAAAGCCCTAGACTTTTGCATCAAACTCCTACACACACACATACACATGCACACACACACACACATGCACACGCACACTTGAGAATGAACAAAGAAATCAAAGAATTTTTACTTAAAATTATATTGGCAATATTAGTAAACTTAAATTTAGCCTACTTTTTTTTTTAAAAGAAGGGGGTCTCACTATGTTGCCCAGGGTGGTCTCAAACTTCTAAGCTCAAGTGGTCCTCTAACCTTGGCCTCCCAAAGTGCTGTTATTACACTGTGAACTACCACATCTGGCCTCAATTTTAGCCTACTTTAAAAACTCATTTGGATTTTGAAATGACTATGATATTCAAATTGATAACTATTGTTACTGACTGTAATCATTTCGAACTGGAAACAGATTCTGCTTGGTAAATATATCCTTTTCCCTAGAACGAGAAATGACCTCAGGATCATCACCTCGCCACCTTCTCTCTGCCTCTTCTTTGGTTCAAGACCCAAGGACAACCCCATTCATCTCTATCTTCACCTGGGGCATGACAGCATCACCTTCCTGAATTTGGAAGAAGCCCATGGAGCTCCTGGAAAAGAGGTACCTGAGCCCATTCCTGTCCAAAGTGGCACTAATCAGCCCATGGCTTGGGTGCCACCTGCAGGTGGCAAACTAGAACCAACAAATAAATACAGATCTCCCCTGTGCCTCACCCCTGAGCCAGCCCTGGGGATCCCCAGAGAATAAAACCCTGTCCTGCTTTGAGATCTGGTCCTCCATGGAAGTTCACTCAGATCTGGACTTCGTCTAAGGACCGATGGGAAATTAGTGACATCCAGCCATTGGATATGGCTTAGAGTCTGGGTCCAACTGGGATGAAGCACTCACAGTGGGCTGAGTGGGTGACGGCATAGGCTGCCAGTGACAGACCCCGTCATGTCCCTGTCCTTGCTCTGGACAGAGAGAAGTGTGTGGGAGCCACACCTCAAACCACAGAGTTCCTGGGATGCCACAGTCACCGCTACAAAACCCGGATGTAAACCCAGGCCTTTCCCTTCTCCTCCTGCGTCATCTCCTTGCCATATCTGCCTTGTTCTCCTACGTCACCTTCGTGGAGGTGACGGGGATCTGGAAAACAGGCTCACGCTGCCTGGACACATGGAAAGTCCATGGCTTTCAGAGGCTTGGTGTCTTATTTTAAGGTGGTATGTATGGCAGCCAAGGGGATCAGAATATTCAACTAGGTTTTGGTGCGTTCTCTTCTCAGCACGTAAATCTGCTTGTTGAACTGACCTAAGGTCAGAAGGTCACTTGGTTGAAGCCAGAATCAGAACAGATGAATTGGGATTTCAGGAGCGTTTCCATGAACCAGGCTGCCTGTTTCTTCCTCTGGAGAACCCTCCAAATATCCTTCCAAAATGCTTTCCTTCTTTCTATGGGAATCCTACTATTTCCATTGCTTCCTGTTATCTTAAGATACTAAATTAGGAAAAAAAATCTCCCCAAGTATCCCAAGGTCTACTCTACCCTGTTAAGTATTGGACTGGGCACCCATAACCATTTTGTGGGGAATGCAGCCTCCCTCTGGGGCCTCCCCTGAGGTTAACTGGGGGCATAGCTCATGCCCGATGATGCCTTGTGAATACAGCATCTTAAGTAGCAATAGTTCCAGCTACCATTCATTGAATGCTAACTATCAGCTAGGGCTAGGCCCTCTGCTAGACCCTTAATAAATGTCATCTCATTTGACTCTCAGATCAATCCTAAGAAGGAATCATTATAGAATCATAAAGATTCTTAACCAAACTCCTTTTAAATTCAGTTTTTTGGGCCAGTTCCATGTCCTCCTTGCCCAAAGGCTGCAATCATGCCAGTTAAGTAAGCTTAAAACACTCCTATTTTACAACGTTGAGGGAAAGGCCAACAAAACGACAGAACCTTGGCTCTGACATCCTTGAGCCACCAAAGCATCACCAGCGACCACCTCCTAGACCTCTCGCCATGTTTGTTAGTCCGGGTGCCTTATGCGAGGTTGCCGAGCGTGGACAGTGCAAGTGTTTGAGACAGAAGTGAATCTGGAGGAACACCTGCTACCGAGGCTGTGGGCACTGCTACAGAGGAAGGTGGGGCTGGCTGCCCGGTCCCTGTTCCACCCTCTGGGCGCTTGGGACCTGGTAGTGATGAAAATGACCACCACCCTCTGTGCTGCTTCAGAACAGCTCGGCACAGAAGGCGACCCCATTCTGACTCACGGCTTTAAATGCCATCTATATGCTGATGAATTCCAGCTCTCTATCTCCGGCCAGACCTTCCCCTGAACCCCAGACCCACGTATTTAACTCGTCATCTCCACGGGGTGCAGAAAAGGACAGAATTCCTGCTCTGGCCCTCACCCAACCTCCTGTAGCCCCAATAACGCAGCAAAGGACACGCCATTCTTACAACTATGCAGGCCAGAAACTGGGGGTCACCCTCGAGTCCTCGCTCTCATACCCCACAGCCAATCAATCTATCAGTAAATCAGCTCTGCCTTCAAGTCAGATCCAGAAGCCCACCGTGACCAGGCCCTCCTGCACTCACATGGCTTGCCACCCCAGGCCGGCTTCTGTATGCTCTGCCTCCATCTTGCTCCTACTGCCCATTCTCAGCATGATGCCCAGCGTGACCATTTAAAAATATAAGTGGGACCACGCTGCTCCTCTGCTCAGAAACCCTCCTGTGGCTCCCCATCTCACTCTGTGCATGTGGCCATAGCTATGCGACAGTGTGTACAACATGCCCCTATTTCACTCCCACCTCCACGCTCTGCCCCACCACAGCCCACCCTGCACCAACCAAACTCCCACCTCGGTGCCCTTAATCTCTTTTGCCAGATACCCACATGGCTCTGTCTCTCTCCTCCTTCAAGTCTCTGCTCAAAGGTCACTATCAGTGAAGCCCTCCCCAACCTCCTAACTGAAAACAGCAGCTCATGCGTCCCATGCTGCCTGTCCCCTCCCTGCTTTAGTCTTCTCCTTTGCACGCCTCTCTCACGTGCGTACTGATCGTCTCCTCCCAGGAGAAGCTCAGCTCCCGAGGGCAGTGGTTTTGTTCATGTTACCCCCAACTACAGCCCCCTGCCTAAAACATGCCTGACTCGTGGTGGCTGTGTGACACACAGGTGCTGAAATGAAAGAATGAACACCCACCTCAGCTTTCGTGACTGACATCCCGAGGGGTCTGTCGCTGACAGTGACCGACTCCAGCGCAGAGGACATCCGGTGGCAGAGGTGCTTGTTCTGGATGGCAAACCTCAGCTCTTCCTTGACAAAGGGTGTCAGGTTAGCAAAATCCTCAAACACCAGCGACCCAGGAGGGGACAGGCAGGGGACGATGGCAGAAGCACTGACTTCCGAGGCAGAGACCTGGCCTGGGTGTTGAAGCATCATTTTGCTGAAAGACACATTGAAACCCAAACTGCTTCAGGGGTCCTGGGGCATGGGGTCAAGTGTCCTCCCACCCCACAACCCCCGCCACCAGAACCTCCCCCTCAGAGGAAAGTCCCATAAGCCCTCTGTTCATAAGGCTTCTGTTCTGTTCTCATTTCATGCCATCCTCATCCTGAGTAAAACAGGTTCTTAAAACACACAGCTCAGTGACGTGGACAAAATGCCGAATTGAAGGTTACAAGAGTTGATGTCTCGGGCTATTCTGAACTCGCAAGAGCTATTAGTTTTGGCTGGTGTGCATATGTGCAAATGTCGCCTCACACAGTTCTGAAAGAGGAAGAGCAGTTTTTAAAAATCAGTGAGACCATTCCGTAACCTCACTTTCAGTCTCTTTTTCAAAAAGAAACTCGGAAGGTACCTGAAATCAAGTTGAATCTATCAGCGAGTGGAAGTAAAAGCAAGGAACGGGGGACCCTTGAATGTAGCCAAAACATGGCTGAAGCTTCTCACCCCACAAGCTGGATCCGAGTAATGGGAAAGAGGAAGGTAACAGTAGCCGGGTGTGTTTCTTCGCCCCAGTCCTTGGCAGGGGATGAGGGGTGGGGATTCTTAAGGTTTAGGTTGGCAAAGCAAAAGACCTTAGAGTAGAGCAAAGTGAGGAGCTAACACTCAGGCGCTCTGAGGGTATTCAGACCTGTGGTGTAAGGAGAGGCTTGGACCGGGGGCCTTGGCCTGGCTCTGGCACTAAAGAGCAGTGACTGGGGCCAGTTGCTCTGGCGCTCTGAGACTCACTCTGCATCTGGCAGATGGCTGAGAGCTCCCCCGGTGGAGGGACTGCGTCTCTACCGACACTTTATCCCAGAGCCCGGCCCAGCACCTGCTGACCGGCTGGACACTGCCCAACTGAATAAATGAAATGAAGACAGGTGGTCGAATCAAATGGCCTCTGAGGTCCAAGGTCTCATCTCTATCATTCTATAGCTCAGTGAGCCAAAAGAGATGACAAAAGGAAAAGAAAGCGTAGAAATAGTAACCGTTCCATGGCTCCGATTTGGAATAGTCCCCTATGAGTTCTACCTGCCGTGTACTTGCTCAAGGGGCAGTGTGTGTGGGGACGTGTCTGGGCAGGCAGCCCACTGGAGCGTCCACAGGGGACCTGTGACAAGAAACCCTCTGGCTAGTCCCCTGACAGGTGAGGAGCGCCTCCTGCATCCCAGAAACCTCATGTGCACTGTATCGTTTAATCCTCACGAGAACCCAGTGAGTTAGGTCCTAGCCCCATTTTATAGATGAGGTAACTGATATTTAGACAAGCTAAGTAATTTGCCCAAAGTCATAGAATTAACACAGGGCAGCGTCAGGATTTGGAATTAGGTTAGTTTGGCTCCAGAACCCATGCCCTTAATTTATACATTGTGAAAATGAGCAAATGTTATTCTACATTGCAAAAACAAACAAAAAAATAGAGCAATTTTTTTTGGAGCGGTGCAGGCACTGGGGTAGGTGGGGGCTGGAACTGAAGAGATGGAGGGGAGACTGAACAAAGTCATGTGGGGAAAACCCGAGCTCCATTTAATGCAGTGTAATCGTCATATACCGGGGTGCGTGCTGAAGCCGCCGCCTGCATTTTGGGAGTCGGTTTAAGTGGGTCTTTATCCACCAAATTCCCAGACTGGGGTCCGAAGATGAAGATCTGAAGCCCACTTACTCTGTTATGTGTCATCGCTATACCTCCCAGTGGCCTTTTCTCCTCTGTTAAAGAGTGTTAATAACAATCGCCCTATTTTCCCTTACAGTCATGTGAGGAATTGAAGAAACAATACATGAATATGTCTGGAAAACATTCTTCAATCAGGAGCTACACTATTACCGGGCCTCCCAGGGACCACTCCAGCCCAGGCCTGGCTCTCTGACAGAGGCTCTGTGGGGTCCAGGTGGGAGGGTGGCTGGTCACCCTCTTTGATCTCAAATGCTTCTGAATAGTACACCCTGACCTCTAAATCCCCCTGGAGATCTCAGATACATGGATGGAGGCAAGAATTCCAGGCCAACGAATGCCACCCTGGACTAGTCAAAGAAACCCAGGAAATGTACGTTAATTCTCTTCCCAGAGCCTTGTGTCATGAGCAGGACTGAAGTTCTTCTCTCAGTTTAATCCTATGATCTTAGGATGCTGGGAGGATACTTCTCTCTGTCTGGTAATCAACTCTGAGAAACTAGCCTTCTAAAGCCAGAGGTTTAAGATTCTCCCATGCATTCATGTTTCCCCTCCCTTTTCAACTTTATTAAAAACCCAATAATTCAGGGATGGAATTCAGAGCTACCACTGGGCTGGCCTTTGTTTGGAGGACAGGATGTCTCCCTTCTACATGGGTAGTTTGAATTCCTCCACAGTTGAATATAGTTCCACTTTGCCACCCAACTAAGTTTATTAATGAGCTCTCAGGGCTTGAGGTCTGCTGTTTGGGATCCACCCCCAGCACCCGCAAGTGTAAAGTCAGCAGTCCTGAGGAAGGCAACAAAGACTGTCAGTGGTATGGAATGTTTTTATGAAAAGCATTGGGTGGGCTTGCTTGGGGACAGAAATGGGTTGTAAAAATGTGAAAAGCCTTTCAGTAGGTAAAGCAGATGTATCTGCAGAGATTCGGGCTTTCTCTGCAGTAGGCTAGAGCTTAGCCTCTTCGGATACTTTCTAGTTATTCCCTTACTCAGTCTCTTAAGATATGATTCAGCCTCCACTCAGGCTGTGTCCCCACAAGAAAATGAAGTTAAATCTTCAGACAATTTTTCAGAAAGTTGAGACCCTCTAACAACTCCTTCACTGAAGAAAAAAATATTTTTGGGGGGGGTCTCAGATGATCTGAGTTGACTTTCTACATTGGTCATAAATTTGTTCACGCCTGCTACAAAGAACTTGCACTTTGCTTCTGCTTCATTATTTCCAATCAGAAATCATGTCATATCGTTGGTGGTTTCATCATTTTCAAGAAAGTGAAACTTTACTCATGTATTTCTTTAGCTGGAAATTCAGCTCCCAGATTTATTTCCTGGTACCTACAACTACATTGAATTTTCACTTTTAATTTTCATCTCTTTCCACTAAGCACTGCTCACGAACCATCTCATGGTACTGGGAAGTCAGTATTGGCTTTTCGCTAACTCTTCATATGTTGGTCTGTCTCCCAGCCTGCTTGAGGAGATTATACGTGCAAGGCGGGGCCACAGGGCCAAAGACGATGTTTCCAGGCCTGTCAGTATCACTCACAAGCTGAGCACCAACAAGCCAAGTGGGCTTTCTGGGCCTCAGTTTCCTTTTTTGTAAAATGAGATCAAGACTGCCTGCCCCGATTCTCTCAAAGGGCTGTCGGGGAGAACACATGAGACTGACACACACGCTGGGTAGCCAGCACTGCTGTGACTCCATTTTACCTGTTTCAGGGGAAACTCATTCTGTCATCAATCCCGTTAAACCCTATTAGTCAGGAATTAACTGGAACCCTCGAGAAATTCAGGTCAGAGCCTCTTCTGCACTTGGATTGACCCCTAGCTTCCTGACACACCAGGTAAATTCCACCCCACTATTTGCTGACACCAGCCTTTCTCCACTAGTGTTACATACTTGACAGAGAACCAATTCTACACATGAAACCATTCCTTCCTTGAAAAGTTTCTGTGGTGTCCTGGCTATGTCCTCCTTCCTGCCCTCCCCCCGGCCCGGGTAACACTTGGGAGCCTGACCCTATTCCATGCCCAGCTCATTTTAAAAGGGAAGGAATCATGGAGTCTATTGAATGGGAATCATAGAACAGCCAATGTTACAGCCATCTAGGGCATATCCTTATATTATAATTGAGTAATTAAAGGTCCAGAGAGGTAAAGTAACTTGTCCAAGGTCATAAAGATGGTGAATGACCCAGCCCATGCCAAGCTACTGACCACCCACCCACTGCTCATTTTACTCCATCACTAATAGGGATCCATGCTTCAAGTCACCAACCAGCGTGGCAATGGAGAACACAGCCACCAGCCAGGAAGGGTCAGCAGTCCTGGCACCTGGTACTGACCACAGAGGAGACTTTCACAGGACTAAGATGGTGAGGGGTTACAGAAGAAAGGGGCCATGGAGAGAAAGGAATTAGATTATAATGGCCAAAGAGCAAAGAGGGGGAGAAAGAGAGGGAAGGCTGGGGTTATAACAGGAGAGGTTTGAAGGCTCCCGGAGCTGCCACAGGTGCTGGGTGCTGTATCTTATCCGCCCTGTGGGCCTGGGACACTGCAAACTATCCAGACAGTGACAACCGCAAGCCCCAAGCTGCCCCGTCTTTGTCTAGAATAACCTCAGAGCAAGAGCCTATATGTTGTAGCATTATTATTCTACAACAAATGCTAAACGCAAAACAAGGGGGAGGGTAATGCCAATTTCGCCTTCATTTCAAGTTGGGGAGACAGAAACTGCAAACAGAAAATGTGACTGTCACCCACACGGAAAGGGATACATTGGGGGGAACATCCAGATTTTCTAACTCTCAATTTTTTTCTGGATCCATCAAGAATTTAGTAACTTTTTTATCTGTAAGAAAGCAGATGAGACCTATGCCATGAAATTAGGAAAAAGAAAATGGTCAGGAGGAAAGGAAGTAGGAGAACCAATCCAATGGAAAGAAAGTCGGGGAGGGATGAGATGCTCCATGGAGAAGTCCCCTTTGCCCCATTGTCTGGGAGACTGGTCAGTGACATTAGATGGAGACACACCTCCTTCAGTTCTCCTCCCTGGTCCCTTTTCTTTCAATTCCACCCCTCTAAAATCTGAAAATCTTCAGCCAGAAAGGACCTGTGTCCATATTTCCCAGCTGGGGATACTAAGGCTTCAGGACACCAAGTGCAGTATAAGGTCTCAGAGTGCTGGCACTGGACCACAAAACCATTCTCTCAAATATCTGTTCAACTGGTTCTGCATCCTCGCTTCCCCCACGGAGGGTCTCCATGGCGGCAAAGCAGAGAAATCCGCAAACCCCCAACGGAAAAGCGACAGAGAGTCGACAGGTACGCGAGAAAAGCGTGTGGGAGTCCGCACCCAGGAGCCCGACACCAGCTTGTGCCGGGAGTCCTCTCCGCCCTCCGCCCGGGACAGCGCGACACCGGCGCTCGCCACTTCCAAACTTAGCCCAACCAACTTTCGCTCTGGCCGCCCTACGCGGTTCAGCGGCCGAGCGCTCCGGGCTGCGCAGGGCGACCCCCAGCGGCAGCGCCCGCCCGTGCGTCCGCGGGTCCCCATTCATTGCGCTCCGCGCCCGGGACAGCGCTTCCGCGAGCCCCGGCCTCAGCGCCCCTCTGCGGATCTCGGGAAGGCTCCGCTGGGGAGCGGCGGCGCGGATCGCCGGGAGGGCTGGGGCAGGACAGCGAGCCGGATAGCGTCGGACGCCCGCGCGCACCACCGCCCACCCGCCTCGCGCCCGCCCCGCGGGCCAGTGCGGGCCGACGGCGGGGAGAAGCGGCGCTCCGAGGTCGGTCGCGGAGTGGACGCCCGGCCGCCTCCGACACCAGGAGCCTTTCGCGCCCCGAGTCAAAAGAGAAAGTTAGTTCTTTCACTTCGCGGGAAACTTTCCGAAGCGCCGAGGGGCAGCGGCGGCTGGACGAAGTTCAGCCAGAGTTCCCGCGAAGCCGGAGGCTGGGGGCGCGGGTCGGATTTGGAGCAGGGGTTGGGGGACAGGTAGGCAGAGGGGCGTAAAGGGAAGCGAAGCGAGCCGCCCCCGTCGCGCTCGCTCACTCGGCTTCCAGCGCTCACCTCCAGTCTCCGCTCGGGGCGGCCAGGGTCCGGAGGACGGGCAGGGTCGGGACGGGGTCGGGCTGTCTGTCTGTCCGGCCGGCGGGCGAGCACCGAGGACGCTCGGTCGGCGCGCGGGCTGGCGGGTCCGCTCGGGGAGAGCGCTGTGCAGTGCGCGCCCGGCTGAGTGCGACTGTGGCTCGGAGCGCGTTGCATCACCCCTTTTATAGCACGCGCTGGCGGCTCGCTCGTTTACTCCGGGGGACCAGTCCCGGGCTGACGTAATGCTATTAATAGCTTCCCGGGAGAACCGGCCGAACTGAGCAAAGGAAGG